CCATCGTGCAGAAACCACATTGATTGTCTTACACTTAACGGCACATCTTCTAACAAGGAAGGCAAAATGTTGCGTAAAAAGTCTAGGTATTGCATCCCGTCCAATCGATTTGGGAGAATAAATGGTCCAATGAGCATACCGTTCACCATGCCAGCCCAAAGATTCACCGAAAATGTTTGTTGAAAATGTGCCCGACGGACAGCGTGCGGATTTTCTACTGACCAAGCATGAGTGTTGCGAAAGTTATTCACCCCATTACGCGTGAGCGTAGATTCGTCTGTCACCAATATGCACTTCAAAAATTCCGGATTATTGTCATGTTACAACCACTCACAAAACCGCACTCTTGCTGGAAAATCGTCAGGTTGAAGGGCTTGTACACGTTGGGCGTGAAACGGATACAGCCCCTCTTCACGCAGCGTTTGCCACACTTTAGTTTTTGATACTTGCACTTCTCTAGCCACGTCTCTGGTGCTTGTTGTTTTTTGAAACGCAATCGATTATACGGGTTCGTTTACCTCTACACGCGTGACCGTAACCGTCGGTTGAAGGTTGCATACTGACCTGACACACTGACCCCGACCCCCGACCCAGTTCTGTCGTCGGGTTGAGCTAGTGTCCTAGTACCAGTTGGGGATGTCGCGAGTCGCGACTACAGGACGGTATTCAGATATTTTTGATGTTGCAGAGCCCTTTATCTCGGTTCCCTTAAGACATTGGTGTATATGGTACTAAGAAAAATTGCTTATGATTTCAAGATCTACACGTCGTGTATAGGAAAACCCCAACTTTGCGGACACCCTGTATATATATATATATATATATGTCCTAAGTAGAACTGCAACGCTGGAATGCTCAATAAGTTGACACTATGAAAATTTGGGATTAGACTACGACTGTTGGGTACAATTTGGCTAAAATATACTCACAACGATGACACATCCGTTAGTATCGGAGGAGGATTCCAACTTGCTTATTTCAAATGGAATACTGTACACCCAAATAAACTTCCTGTATAATATCATCCCATACCTCAATCTAAATGTTCTAGAAACAAGTCAAACTTTAAAAAATGACATGCAGACCAATAAATTATTACAATTTTTTTCCCATAATTTTTTTTTGTCATAACCTTTGTACCTGATGCTTTTCTTGTAGTAAGGGGTATACTTACTAGGCTTCATTTCAGATTTGGATAACAAACGGTGGAAGGTGGTCAAAAAGAATCGAAATTAGGCATTACAAAAATAAAAACTTTTTCAAATAGTAATAACTTTAGTTTCAGCGTATTGCAGATATACTGGAAGCATTGGTTTACTATTGCTAAAATATTCCATACAATCTTTAGCATAAGATAATGTCAGTTGGCCATGTAAATCGGGTGAACTATCAAAGATATAGCCATATGGGCTATTTAAGCAAGAGAAATACCAATATTTCCATATATATTGAAAGCTAATAATTTCCGAAGTAGACGAAATTATACAAAAAAAACCTTACTTTAAATACTTAATACGATGAAATTATATCACGTTGGATCCCAACAATTTACTATTTGAGTTTTGAAGAATCTAGCCTACCCTCCCTTTTTTTGACCACCCTGCACTATTTGTTGTCTAAATCTCGAATGAAGTCTACTAATGTAGGTCTCATACTACAATAAACCCGTGGACATCATACTGGCAAAGGCGAAAATACGAGAAAAATCGTTATCACCCATTTTTCTAGATTTCTCTTTTTTTAGCAAAAGTTACATAAGATGATATACACAAACAGTGTTTAGGATATCGTATAGAATCCAAAATTGGAGCATAATACTATCTATCTCTACAACTGGAAGTACAACCATTCTGAAAATTTTGTATCCGAATTGCCCCCACCAGTTGCACTATAAATCCAAGTCTTTAAAACTGCCTTACGTGAATGTTTTGAGTACTCGATCTGCAGTTCTACTTACCCTGAATAGGATTTCATACATTTTTATTATTAGGACAACAATACTATAGTGCAACGCACTACGAATATACATTTTTAGCTACTCGATATTAATTTACAATTTCCTCGTGGTTCATAATGCATCCAATCCAGTTGATAGATTTAAAATTTGTCGTAAAAATATGTAAAGTCACTGGATCCTTTCCTTTAATTTGATTGCGCTATCCATTCAAGTCGCAGAGGTGCGTTATGTTACCTAACTCTTAAAATATTTATAAAATACCTGAGTTTTCGTATCAATATCATTTAGTGAGTGGTATACGAGGGGGTACCCAAAAAAATTATTCTTTAAAAGCGATTTATTTTCAAGTTTTTCACAAAGAAACCTTATCTCCAATGGCGACGCGTGACTTTTCCTAAACTGTTACCAAAACCAGATCTGAAAATCTTATTAAAAAAAGTTTATTTTGAACCTCCCAAATATAAGTTTTGGCTTAACTCAGGTATTTTATTTAAACTATTTTTAAATTAAGGTAAACGTTCCTGGACTGAGCGTCTGGGGCACTTGATATACCTCATCGTCTTATGCTATGACTAATCCATGCCGTCCGAAAAAACAGTCGACGTTTCTAGATGTTTGGAAAATCTTTGATCTTTTTTGGCAATGAATGTTAAACATTCCCTGTAATTTCCTCTATTGTCAGAGTCATCCCCTTCAAAATGAACGGTAATTCCTGTTTTGCCAAAAAACATACGGTATCTAGAAGTGTGCTGCCTAAAAGCTTGGTTAAGACAACTTTCGATTCTTGTTTCGCCAAACTGAATTAAATTGGCTATACATCTCACATGTAACGGAGAAATTTCATGTCTCCTCTTTAGAGCCCCAAAAATATTTAAATTGTTGACTCTGCTGCTTGTCTACCCATTTTTTCTGTATAAAACAGATGACATCGCCAATAATACAATCTGTTTTTTTTGCAACCACATAACCAAGAGTTTCCATATACCAACTTAATTTAAAATATCAAACTACGTTTTTTTATTCCTTTTTAAAATTATCTAAGATAGGTGTTGGTCTTTCATCTTCAATGATCTCCTTTTTTTCTTAAAAATTATACAAGATGAATGACTTTTCAAGTAGTTGATCGATTACGCAGCGACACTCATCCATGTTTCATTGCACGCACACCACAGCTGGTAACCAAAACGGCTACGAACAAGTGAGAAGTGAGTAACCAAATCAAAAAATGGTAACAAGCCCACATAATAGTCGCAGCACCCCAACCACTCGGGCGACCTCGATCAGATACGAGCCGGTACCGAAGGTCCCCGACGGACTACCAAGTGTATCGATAAATGAAAATGGTAACAACCGCCAACCAAGTCAACTTCATCGTGTTCGCAAAACCTAGACACTATAGGGCGCATTATTTTCGTGAAGCTAATTTACTGAATTTTTATTACATATCGCTGTCGGTAGACAAATAAATGAAATTATTCGCAGTACTTAGTCATAAAATATTTATTTTCAAGATTTTTAACTGTTAATGGTAATAATGGTTACATGGACGCTTCGCCACTGCTTATCTCCTTCAAAATACTGTCCACTACAACTAACACACCTGTCCCACCGGTGCTTCCAATGCTAAAAAATGTTTTGAAGTCTTCCTTAGAAATGTCTGACAGTTCTTCCCTCGTTTTGTTTTCTTGACCTCTTCAACATCGTCAAAGCGGCGTCCTTTCATGCCCACTTTCATCCGTGGAAATAAGAAAAAGTCGCACGGAACCATGCCATTTTTAGCCAGAAACTGTCGAACAGAGATGACTGTGTGTGCAGGTGCATTATCGTGGTGGAAGAACCAGTCCCCTGACTGTCACAAATCGGGTCTTTTTTGCCGAACACCGTTTCGCAATCGTCTTAAAACGTCAAAAGAACAGAAGCTCTCGATTTTTTTCAACATTTTCGTCGATTCGGGCTGCTGATGGACGTCCAGTGCGAGGTTTATCATCAGTCGACATGTCGCCATTTTTAAATGGAGCAAACCTCTCGTACACCTGAGTTTCACCAATTAGAAAGCAAAATTTCACAGCTGCACATTACTCACTGAAGCTTGCCATCGTAAAAAACGAAACAAACACAAAACAGCTCTAGCAAAAATAATAACTACAGAGAAACGAAACAAACCAGATCGACAACTCAGGTGGTACTGAAGTGGTAATGAGTGGTGCTGTACCGCTCTAGGGGCAGAAATGTGTACTACACAAGCTCCGCCCACTGCAATGCTATTCCGGTTATGTTTGGGTACCTCCTCGTATGTTGCAGAAGCAGCTCATGATTCGTATATGCTGGAGTGTATTTAGGAATTTCCCGAGCCTGTGAGAAATGTTTTGAGGATACAGGGTGTCCCAGAAATAACACGCCAGGGTGACACGGGAGGTAGATTGGCTTCAGGTCAATCAGATAAGATCAACATGACCTTAGTAAGAGTTTTCTAGTTTTCGAGATATTGCCACCTTTAAGTTTTCTCAAAAAATCACTACTGTTTGCTCCTTTTTTTGTCTGTTATGGCCATTAAGAACTTCGAACATGTGATTTTTGTCCTGGGCTACCATTAATAGTTGGTTGAGACAACCGAGTATTCATTTCATGGAAAGAATTGCACGGTATGCTAAACAAAATTAATACATTTTGTTTCAATGTGAAAACCTTTACTAAAGTTTGACTAATTACTAATGAAAAAAATTAACCAGACTGAATCGGCAAATGATCTTGACCTATTTGATGCTCTTTTAAAGATAGTATAACATTTTTAGATTCTTTCTTCTAGAAGTTGAATAATTACAAGTTTTGTCATTAAAGTGGTAATACTTGTGAAGTACTACAAACAAAAAATAAGTGCAGCAGTCTTTTGTATCCAAATCACCAAGGAATGGAACGACCTAGCAAAAAATAAATTTAATATTCCTTGACACGCTGTGACTAAGGTCCAAGCTGCCGATTTGTTTATTAGTAGGACTGCCTAGCATTTAGATATCGGATAATAAATATGGTGTTTCAATTTCAGAAAGGAAGCAGCTGAAGAAATTGTTCATCCCTCTTCTTCTTGTGCTAAAGCTATTCAAACTAAAACTGCTGCTTTTCCTACCTTTGATTTTGGGCCTGGCATCTTTCAAGAAATTTTTAGGATTCTTGGCCCTCATCGTCCCAGGGGCTATAGCATTCTTCAACTTCTGCAAGCCCAGCTTTCAACAAGGAGGTGAGCCTCTTAAATATTATCATAAGTTGTAGTCAATCTTGTACATTCCACATAGTCATGGTAGAAAAGTCCAGTAGTCGATAACGGAAGTATCAATGTTTAAACTAGAAAATCTCAGATTCACTGCTTTGAAGTCCTCTCTAAATTGAGCAGGGAAATACTGTCCTGTAAGTTCTTGAAGTGAAATGAAGTGTTCTAAAATATTAGCCATAAGATTCTAAGCGTTTTGATTGCCATATTTTGATATTTCCTTTAACAATGCTGCAATAATAGTAATTTTCAGTAACATCCATAATGGTTATACCCATAACAATTTAATTATCATCAAATTGCCAAAACTTAATAGACGCTTATGACTTTTCATCACAAGCCTCATTTCTCTTTTGTGCGACCAAAGCTAGAATCCAATGAGAATCAAATGATTTGATCGTTTTGTGCACATCAGTATTATCCATCATTCAGCATACGAGCCGCATGTTTGCGGATCTTTGATTTGCACAAACACATGCAACTTTCACTTTGTTTGACAATGAATCTGTAACCTCGTAGTAGTAGAGATTACGTGTATTTGTTATATCGTCTACACCTTTGTTGCCAAATAAAGCATCTTCTATAGTCATCGCTCATATTTGCGAGTATGGGCAGTGATAACTCAAAGTAGGGTTACAGTCTCCAGTGTGAAGGATTTGGTTAGGTCTATGGTACAAAGTTTAATACCATTGAGTAACAGTGATACGTGTTAAGTCCTCACACTTCCTAAATGCCACCCCTCGTACAATTTATGGTACTGAAATGTGAAATCTGGAAATTCGTTAAACCACTATCTAATTCTTTACGCATCAACTAATTTTGTTGTTCATAAGGACACCGAATCGCAGCGAGTCACTAATTTAAAATTTTTCTAGGGTCATTCTTTGCCAAGCAGCCTCAATACTCCCCAACGGGAGTAGCATACCCCCACCACCACCAGCAACATGAATACAGTGAATACCCTCCCTACAGCTCCCCAGGAGCGTGGAGGGCAAATGAGGAGGCCGCCCAGAACATAGCCTACAACGGATGGAGCCAGTATAGGGGCAATGACAAGGGCATCCAGGCTGAAGCGGCAACTACCAAAAAGTCCATATTACCGGACTCGTAGCTAGATCCAATCAGAGGATATGTATTTATTGTACATAGTCGTAGTCTTAGTTATTTATACAATACTTTTTAATATTAAGTGGATCCCCTCTACAACAACTCAAGCCTACTAAACAAACAATAAAAGTTGGTTCATAAGAAAGCTATTTTTATGCATGTGCCATTATGAATAATTATATGGGACATCCTAATAATATACTTAACATGTAACCTGCATTTCGCAGTACCCACATGTACAAAGTCTTCAATTATTAACTAATCCCTTTAACATTTTGTATATTTAATTTTTATTGGCCAGTCAGATAAAATGGTGTACATGTAGAAAAAATATTGAATATCGATATACCGAACTCATTACAGTATAATATCACATGTTTATAAAAGTCATATAAAATGGCTAAAAGCTGAGAAATAAATGTAACAATATTAAGGTATACTTGCCTGTGCATCCCGAGTACATAATATATGACTAAACTACAATCAGAATACTATGTATTGACTAAGATAACAAAGATCAGTATAATAAACCATGTGAGTGTGTTTCTTTGGGATAGAGAGATATTTTAACTATTTTAACTATGGTATCTCGATTGATGTGTCTTTGCCTCTTATGACCTGTACATCGCTCGAATGCTTGATTACTTCAGCGTAAAATCTGTGAGGTCCTCTATATCTGCTTGACTTCTAGTAGAATTCTTACACAGGTACAGCTAGAGCAGAATACCTCAAATGCTCCCACCAATGGTGGTGCAGGAGCAAGTAAAACGGGGAAAATTGAGAACTCCAAGAAAATTAATATTTTGTATGTTTTTGGAGTTGCTGACTATTTTTTGATATAGTGCAAAAGTTCACGGGGTCAACATGTGAAAAATGCAAAAATTCCTCATTTTACTTTTGTCTGCTTTCTGGTTAATTCTGGCTAAGTAGAAATATAGACCGTTTGAAAGTTCTGAAGCTAGGTATGTCTTTTATGGTTGCACATTTCGCTAACAAAGCTTACAATTTCTGAGTAGCTAAAATGTCTAAGCCGTATTTAATAAATTTGCCAATCTACCCGGTTCTGCACTGCCCAATTCGGTTCGCATATAGTTCTAGGGGGATTCCGTTGTTTCTCAAAGTCGTGTGACTATACATGCAAAATTGTCTGCGTTTCTATAAATGTTTGCAATTGTTTCAAATCATCGTCGATCAACCACCAATGGTATAAGATACATAGTAATACACGTGTCTAGCTTATACATCGACTAAAGACAAACTGCAAGGTTATTTTCTAATAGATCCTATACCCCTTCGGGACTATTGGTGTTCACTGGGCCATCGAAGCGAGCGTAGCATATTTGAGCATAACTGAAACAGCGGGAAACTCGTTTTCAATGCTTCACATAATTAGCACATTCACCGACGCGGACACGGACTCTAGCGCGGGAACACGTGTCCACATGTAACATGCACACATTCTGGCTCCGTCTTAGAGATCCGCTACGTGGTGCCTCCGCGTTCGATAGTCAAAAAAAGTAACATCCATAGCCAAGAGACAAATTCGCTTGGGACGGGATTCGGACCCGCGCAGCGCTCAGCAGCCGATTAGGAGACCAACAACGTCTACCACTACGCCACCGCTACTGCCTAATTGCTTTGCCTGCTGCAGCAACTGATTTTGTCGCTCTTTCTATTCAAAGCTACTATACTGAAACAAGTTATCATTCTATTTTTGTGTAACTGTTCATACTTAACATCTCAATATATACGTACATAATATAGTCTTGTTGATGTATTTCGCCTGATGCATTGTGAAAATTACTTAACTCTCGTTGGTATTTCTGACAAGCGAGCATATAAGTTAATGATACGATCTGGTCGACTATAAAAATGACTGTTCGGGACCATTGCAAAAAGGAAATAAGCTATTGGAATGATAATACATAGAATGATACCATTTCTCTCCATGGAGTTTGATTATACGAATATGCACCTTTTTAGATACCAAGGTGTCAACTGCACATCCGCTGCCTCACATTTTATTTTTTCATTGTTGATCTTATTGCAGACGGGATTCCAAACACAGACAGGTGAAAAGTAGTTTATCTGGATAAAAACTAGTTATTATTTTGTATAATATGTGAAGTTCTACTATAATGAAGTTCCATGGCCATGAGTAGGGTAATTCCTCCTTGCAGCAGCATTGGCGTCATCTGTTGTTAGCTTCCTTCCTACATTTTTAAGAAGCTATGCCCCACGCCAACTTCATGTACTCTGCGCATAATGAATATAAGCATCCGATCGCTACTCATATTCCCTTGTCGTTGACTACAAAGGCATTTGTGGCCGTTTGGCCAATACAGGCCCGCTAATTTGAACATCGTGCGCTGGTGTTTGTTTTGATGGGTAGTAAATGAGATCTGAAAACACAAAGATGAAATAGATGGAGTTGAGTCCAGGCTCTTCATCTTTGGCTAGGTTGCTCACGATCTAGAGACTGAATGAGTACATCGGTTAAAAGATCGGACATGGGTTTAGTTACATAGTTTTTATGAGAGCTGTACGAGGATGCCTTTTTCTACTATATTATGTTCATCAAGATCCATAAAACACTTGTAATGATAGTCTGTGATTGATAAAATAGGTGCTGTAGATAAAGTAGATAATTCATCTAAGGAAGATGATAAGCAAAATGGTTCAAACATCTCCACCCTTCAGAAAAACATTGTTCTGGCGGTCTTTCTGATGCAATCCTTCTATGGGACGGGCTGATAAATGAAACAGCAAATAAACCATTTTCCGCGAAATTTTAACAGTCTGACGATTATTTTGGTGCCGCGTTGTCAGCATTATACTGTTACCAACACTTCATCTGTTGAAACTAGGTAGCGTACCAGAAGTACTTTCCCCAAATGCTTATAAATTCTTAACACATTAACGAACACTCGAAAAACTTTCAAGTAAACAAGCACCGGCGTTTTTCATAATCTTTCAAACAGTGATAGAAAAGAGTCATGGAAACACATACTTTGTCTATTTTTTCACATTTTTTATAGAAAAATGGGCCGACGGGTAGAGGCGTTAGGCCCCATAACACATAACTTTTGGTTCTTATGGGCATTGACGTCTGTTGCCGTCCAGTATAAAATATACACATCTTTGAAAACATTCATTGAAAGTATAGGTAGAACATTACATAATCCCTTTATTCTAAAACAGAACATAAAAATAGCTAGGTTTTTTTGTGCTACATCTCAAAATATGTACATGGGCAGTAGCGGTAGCTTGTGGGTATTGGTTTTGCAACGCAATGAAGTTTCCTTTCTGGTTCACTGCAAACATGAACATATTTTGTGACGATGAGTTAACCAATCAGCTTCCTTTAAAATAATGTTCATGCCTAGTAGGGCACTGCTCATATGACGGGTGATTTTAATAACTATTTTTTACTACTGTCATGATCAGTCGCAGCTATATCGATTAGATAGTTCGATTCTGTATCATAACTGTCCCCATTACTGTATGCAAAACAACACACACACACAAAAGCGTCTGCGTCAAATCAGTACGACCATATGGGGTGCTCTGAATTGGACTACATAATCAGCTATTGTTTGTTGTCACGTTTTGACATTTTGAAGTATCGTCGGAAATGAATTACTGATACAAGGCTGTGATAGCACTGTTTTATATAGGACAAGGCTGCTGTAGCAGCAGTGATGGCAATTAAGACATTTACCCAACGTCTATGGTTACATTTATTATCATGATATGGGGAATATTTTTTGCATATTGGTCCATAACCAGCCAGATCAGCATACCTATATCTATACTTTTTTTCCATTAACAGATTAACTGTTCCTCAGACTACAATCAAGGACATCTATTTTGGAGGTTGTTTATTTCACGAAATTCCTCTCATAGAAACTACGTGTCTACCGTATACTGGTATGCTTTTTCATCCAATTTGTTCAGTATGATAAGTTGACATTTTTGTTTATTTTCGTCCCCCCAAAAGCGGGATTCTCTCATACAAGCTGTCCGTGTATTTAATATCCTTACCTCAAAACTATACAAGCGGGCTGATATCAAATCACTTCCACATTTTGTTGTCAGCTTCGATATATGGTTGAGCTAATGAATCAACGGGCTCCTACGCCATTACCCGAATGAGTGAACATTCACTAAGGCCTAACTGATAACAGTTCAGAGAGTGATTAACCTGAGCGTTAGCATAATGGGTGCACGCTGGATAATCCGACTACTACGAGAGCACTAATTACCAACACCCTAGGGATTTTAGAACGGATGGAGCTGTTTCGAGTGTCATGTTGAGTCAAGCGTTAACTCATTACTGGTATAATAGCTGGGAGAAAACACATGCAGATTTTATATACCTTCAGTATATTGAATACGTATACGGAAATCATTACCCAAGAGTGACTCACGTATATAGAGTAAGTTCCCTAAATATGGACCACCCTAACTTTTTTTTTAAATAAAAATTTGACAAATTGACAGAAATCAGTCTAATTTATTTTATTTAATCAGTAATATATTATTTCTTATACACACATTTTTTTCTCAAAAGATAGAAAAATGACAAAATAGAAAACACATTTTCGAAAAAGTAACAAAAGTTATAAACTACTACTTGGCATGATAATATGGACCACTGGATTTTAATATGGACCGTACCAGAATGCGCCAAACAAAACCAAAAATTCGATAAAAAATCTTATAACAAAGCGTTGGAATCATATAAACATCTAAGGGTTAGAACAAAATTCACATATAAATATGTCCTTTTCCACACCACTGCAATCTCCATGTGCCCATCGGCTGCAAGAGACACAGTGGATCCATAATTACCCATTGCAATCTTGGGAATACAAACTATCGCAGTACAGACAGGCTGCATTTTCTTGCCATCTGAACTATCATTTACCGAAAAATCACTGGAATCGCCGGAGCTAGAGCTTTCACGCGTTTTAAGAAGGGGTTTTCGTTTTTTCGTGGTGGTTTCCTTGGTAATTTTTTTTATGTTCATTTACCATTAATGCTTCTTTCAACCTATTATTTGTCTTAGGGTCCATGCATTTTTTTTTGCCCTTCATAAGTGATTCCTCAAGTTCTAATTTGTAAGGTGAAGATGTTAAAACAGTCGCTTTAGTGGCCTTTCTTCCCCTATTGCTTTTTAGGTTTCTTACGCGAGGTATTGGACTGATATTTATCGGCGTGATAAAAGCAGA